AGATGCTCAAAGTGCCCTGAGTGCAGGAAGCTCTCCAGTAGAAGTGGTTTACAATGACACTTGTTGACCTGAAGGCAACTTCTCATTCAACTCCATCGACTGTCACAGAGGGGGAGGCAGAGCTCCTTCCCTGAGGTAAATATGCCTGTGCTCAGAGGAAGCACCTTAAAGCTAAGAGAAGTCACACAAGCCGAGCGTGTCTGTGCGTCGGTGTTTATGACAGCTTGAAATAGTGCCAGTGAATACTGCCATATGCTGCTTTGCGCTCTCGGCCTTTTTGGAATTAGATGTATACACCAGAGGGGAGGTTTAATCCTCGTCTCTTTCCTTTCTTCTTTTCTCTGAGCAGAAAGGCCACGCGAGTAAATCCCGCTCGAAACACAATGAGCCTTAAACTCAAGCTCTCTGTGAACCACCAGACAGCTACTACCTCTCTCTAGTGTTGGCTGTAATACAAACCCTGATTGGCTCTCGGTTATTTCTCCAAGATGAACTCTGGTTGGTGAAGCTGCCGTTGCCACTCTGTTGGCAGTTGATCAGTAAACCAAACGGAGCCATATGTCAGCGTAAATGAACTCTTTCTGCAAGCTCTTTAGTGTTTTCTCTCTCAGACTGAAGCAGGTGTGTATATAAAGCACACGGTTTAGCTTATTAGCATTTTGCATTGTTTCAGCTGAATTTATGCCATAGAAAAATGTTGGAGTTGTTTTAGCTTAAAGTTGACTGTTTATTATCAGACTCCACTGGAGAAGCTTTTCATGAGTCAACGTTCATGAGGATCCTTAAACTGGAGGGCTATACTGCAGCCTCGGCTTATCCACAGTCTCAAACGAGCTGCTTTAGCTCCTCCCCTCATAAGTCAACTTTCTTTTGATTGGCTGCCCCCCATAAAGTTTTAAACAGCAGGTGGGGGTAGCTTCTGTTCTCGCAGGGATTTGGGATGTCCTCTCTCACTGACTTCATACAGAGCTGAAGTTACAGCGTAATTATATATATGCTGACCTCATAATGCGAAACTTTGGCCATCTACCATTGTACCAGTGTAAATGCATGGCAGCAAATAGGAAAAAGCAAAACAGGTGCACTTTAAACAGACCGCAAAAACTTTTAAAATGTTATCACCTTATTTCTATTGATCAGTGTATTCCCACCTTAAACACTAAAAAAGCAACAATGTTGCTTTGTTAATTGATCAGAGGACGGCCTCATAACTAATTTTCC